AAAAAAATTCAAATTAATATGCAGTTAAGTCCATTACAATCAAAAGATGTTTTGGAAATATTCTTCCAAACCTCACAGTATCTCACACACAAATTTTCTCTCCTGTATGGTGGTTGTTTTTATTTCTTCTTCAAATTGCATTTCCAGGCAGCTCTGTTCTCAAAAAAGACCTCACTTTGTCAAGAGCTCTTCTGCTTCTAATATTTCTCTGAGACGTGAGGCTCAATCCATCAGGCTGTTGATTCTTACTTAAATGAGAAGCAGCCTCCTGAAGCCTGTGGTATCTATCACACAAGCTATGGAACAGGAACAAGAGAATGACAGCCTGCTTTTCATAGGGGTTTGGAAGCTGTGTGATGCTGCACTTGGTGATGTGCAGCTGTATTAATCAAGGAGCAGGCATTAACGGTGAGCAGATATCATATGAACTGTTGTAGGCACAATCCTAGCTTATCTTCATCCAATAATAATAAAAAACCCCACCTCTAGTCCTGCAAAGAAGGCTAAATATACAATGAGTGTCCTAGGGGACTCTCTAATTTTCTCCTCTCTGATTTTCCAAGACATATGATATGTTCTTAGTCTCTCCTACAGAGACAGCACCTTGAAATATCTGGTGACTCTCTAATAAACTGCTAAGATGATTCACTGCTCTGTAATTCATCCAAAAGGTAACAAGCAGATGAAGCAGCTGAAGGCTTTAACTCCCAGCAGCATCTTTTCCCAGGGCTGTCCAGACCTTGAAAGTGAGCACAAGGCAACTGTCACTCAGCACAGCTGTGCTCAGTCCCAGTGCCACCAGCCAAAAGAGGTGAGCACAGCACTACACTGCAAAGGTTGGGGCCCTAAGGCCCAGGAACCAGTGACTTGTGGGAAATCAGGAATTTTGTTAATCATTTGGAAATAAAGATTGTTGTGGATTGGGTCTCCACTTAGCTGGTGACAAAGAGCTGCATACAACACGACTCTATCCACCTCACCTTGTATAACTGAGACTTGTTCAAAAAGCCTCTATCTAGCAACAGAATTCCTAGAAGGTGGTTACAAACCAAGCAGAGACACTTCAGCCTTAATCTTACAAACAAAACTAAGTCAAAACACACCACCTTTCTCTTTGCACAGATAACCTTCTGGATAACAACCCTGCCCATAAATAAGGGCAAAGTGAAGTTAGAGACATCCATGTGTTTCCCCATGTGTTGCCGTTCCTTGAACCTTTCAATATTTTTGCTGGGGGGACATTCATTTTTTCTTAAACTGAATTCCCTAAAGCCCTGAAACTCACTGTGTCCTCTGACAATGAGGAGAACACTGCCAGGATCAGAACAAAACAGATCACTGCGGAACACTTCTTTCTACCTTTTGAAGTTTCTGAAAGCTCCTTACAGAATCAGAACTCTTACCTTTAGTTTCTTTGAAGGAGTATTTGAAATATCTTCTATCCAGGCTCTTTGTATGTGCTCTTACTTAAATCAGGTACACTTTAACCCCAAAACAGACCTATTGGTTTAGGGCAGGGTTATTCCTAACTCGAGTGAATGCAACATGCCTGTGCTAGAACATTCCTCCCCAGTAAAACTGTCTAGTGAGGTTTTATTCAAGGATCAATACTGAAGTGAAGGGTTGATGTGGTACACTAGTATTTCTTCATCTAAATTCTGAAGTCTCACATGGCCAAAAGATAATCAGCTTATATGTAGAACCTTCTCACTTTATACGTATTTTATAGCCCATTCAAGCCAGACAACTAACCCACGTACCAGTCTTCTATGCCCAAGACAAATGCATTCAAATTACTTTCTGTTTGGCATCTTTTTGGATGAGCTTTGTTGTAACCAAACATAAAACTTGTCTGTTCAAGAAAATTAATCCTTAAAAAAATCCAGACTTAAATTCTGTTTTCAGGGTAACATTTCCCAGTTGCCGGCACTGGAGAACAAGAGGCTGAGGGCAGAAGGAAAGTTCCACAAAAGGCAACACACTGCATTGACCCAGGCAACATTTCAGCTCTGCCAAAGTCTTTAGAAAGCTCCTCTATTAATGCATTGGGGCTGATGGCCAAGATCTGTATTAGCTTTCTCCCTGCCCAAGTCCCAGCCCCAGCCTGTGTTAATTAGCAGCTCTGCACTGTGCTAAACCCATGTTAGCCTATTTAGGCAAGAGCATTAACCCTCTTTCTATGTAGCCTGATCATGAACACATCCCCATGCCCACAGGGCAATAGATTGCAAATAGCAAAACAACCAACCCCAAAGTGAAGGATTGGCAGTGGGGCATTTTTCATACTCAGTGTATTTTCCAGATATTTCTAAAAGAATTCAAATAATCTGTTTGAACAGTGTTTTCCAGCTAAAATGGCAAGCTTAGATAGTTCTTTGCAGTTGTGTCTTTAGATTTTTTAGAATAGGAAATAGGAGGTTAATGTCTCAAATACAACCAAGTATTTTGATTGTTCAGTTTAAAAACAACAGTCAAGTTAAGACTGCTTGGATTGGATTCTTTCTTTCAGAGCCCTCAATAGAGGGCTCAAAAGAGACATTCACAAAGGTTTATGCTTCTCTTCAGGGTAACTAGGCAAGCTACAGGAGAAAGTTCTCCTCACTAATCACATCTTGTCATTAGAAAAACAGGAGCAGCAACGGCTCAACAGAGGCAATCAATAGAAATTAAAGAGGGGATCTGAGTCCACAGCAGGGAGTCTGTTGCAGGCATACAACCATTCCCACCCTGGCTCTGTGACACTTTTGACCCAGCTGAGGCAACAGGGAAAGTAAGAAGTTTGGAGCAAAGTTTGTTAATCCTTTTACAATGTCTCACAGCATCTATATGGGGATTTCACTTGGGGGATTGGGAGATGCTACATGGTGGGACTAGATCTTTGCTACTGAATAAACTGCAACCTCTACCTCCCGTGTCCTACCTAGGAACGCCCCACTTGTAGGCCCACCATGATTACCCTGCGACCCAAAAATCAATTACCCCTTTTCCCCACCACGAACAGCCATCTTTCCAGTTTACAAAGCTTTTTGGGGGCCTGAGCTTCTATCACCACTTCTTCCTTGCATCACAAACACCTCAGCACCACTTTCTCTCCCCATACCAGCAAGCTCTAAACCTGGCACACTAGTGCCCTGCCTAACCCCAGCCCTAGAGGATGAGTGTCCTAGAGATCCTGAGCTACCATGAACACAGATTTCCCACTGCCCTGCAGGGCACATCTACACATCAGCCACTCAGTACGGTTGGTTCCAAAATGCACAGATAATTTTTTCACCTTCAAAAATGTTCAAAATACAGAAAACATGATCAGTGCAGAGAAAGAGCTTCAGAGTTGGACAACCACCTCTGTCAACAGGTGAATTTTCTGCTCAGTGCCAACAACTGGATCATACTGAGCAGACAAGTAACAGCTCTACTCCTCTAATGTTGGGCACTGTATTGTCCACACCAGGGGCTGAGCAAAGCCCAGCAAAGGTATGAGGGCCACCCAGCTGCATCACACACACAACCTGCAAGCCACGTGTCAAACCAGCCAGCTGGGCAAACACGAGGCATCCCTCACCCTCAGTGCTCCTTTCCCACTGACACTACAGCTTATTGGGGAAATAGAATCCTTCCCTATAAGGAAGTCTTGGTAGGTCTGGACAAGGAATATCTCCTCTTAATGGTACAGACCCGGAAAGTGCTGACATGAATCAAACTTACTGCATGTCACTCCCTGCCCCTCTCCAGCCTCCTATAAATAGCCATCATAAGATGTCGATCAAGACATGGAGCCTCCTGTCACTTTGCCCTAAGAAAGCTAAAGAACTCGCCAAGGGGAGGGACCTCTTCCTTCTGACACCTAATCCAGGCAATGCCGTCAGCACCACTGGATAAATAAGGGGAAGAAAGGCCAGGAAAGCAGGACCACTCTCAAGACCTCTCCGCTAATCCCTCCTGCCTGTCTGCCGCTCTGCTTTTCCAACTCAACCATGGTGGGTGCACTGGAAAGCTAATGGTTAGCAGTGAGCCAGAGTGAAATGGGCTTCTTGCTCAAGTTAGTTCTTGGGAGGGGGGAAGGACAGTCCAGTTTAGGTCTGCTTGGTTTTCCTCCTTAAACCTAAAGGACCATGGAAGGTTTTCCAGTGAGTCTCAAGCTCCGCATCAGGCAGTGGTAGACGTGCAGCTCCGGCAGCTTCCAACAGAAGTGTTACAGTTTGCTAAACTTTTCTTTTTGATCAGATGCAACCAGCTGGAGTAGCAAAATAGTAAAATATTATATAAGAAAATACCATAGTTTACTAGTTTATGAAAAAATGTACTGTCAAAAACTAATTTGATACACGAACTCTAAGGGATTGGTATAATTTCTATGTTAATTATAAAAACCTGCTTGTTAAGCAATATTATCTCAAATGATGTAACTAGAAGAGGTCTGTACTAAAGCAGTAAATGGCCTGATGGTTTTAATTACTTCTGTGCTACTTAAGGGACTTTAGATTTTTGTTACTTCTTGCCACAACTCTGGCTTTCCCTGGGATGCGGATTTTAATGGAATCTTTAAGAACAGACCTGCTGATGCATTTTTCCAAGGGAAGTCGCTAGTTTAGGTTGCTGTGGCCTAATTACATCAGGCAAGACAGAAGTGAGAGTGCTCAGGTACTTTGTGCTGTTTGCTTTCTCTCAGTGCATTTTCAGCAGTACTAGTTCTCTTTTTTCTCTCTCTGTTTCCTCCCACCTGCAGTCCTTCTCTGCTGATGAAATTAATGGTAAGTGAAATCAAAGTTAAACTTTAACTGGGGGCAGGAGGGGGAACATAATGGCTACCAAATGATAAATATTCACTAGCCTTAACAGCTCTTTTGCTATCTGCATTACTTCTGCACATCTGACAGACCACATTTTTGCTGTTTTGGAAGATGACTCATGGATTGAGCTGGATGCTTTAGAAAACAAACAGGTTGTCCCCCAGCCCCCCCTTCCTAAGCTATTTTTTGTGATTGATTTCCTTCCAACAGATCGAGTTCTCCAAGGAGCAGCAGGATGGTAAGTTACAAGAGAGCAGATGTGTTTTACACATACATGGGTTCAAAGAGGAGCTACAGGCTCAGAAATTAACCTTTATGAAACCATGAGCTAGGACTTCAGCTGGTATAAATCACCACACTCTTTACTTGAGAGCACCAGTGCTGACTTAGGCTGAACCAAACTGTGACTGTAGATTTTCCTGTAGTTTATCTGGGCGCTTTCTTGCTGCCCAAGCTGAGAAGTTTATCCCATGGTATGAAGAGGAAACACACTGGCTCTGACTGCTGAACACTTTTCAGTTGTTCTCCTGTTCTGGCTGTTCACAAGGATGCTGAAAACAAGTCTTGCATTTGAAAGTCACAGGGGAAACAGGCAGGTGAAGGACATCAAGAGGAGGGAGTGGGTTTAACTCAGCTGCAGTGACTTTGCAATCTTACATGAACAGAAGATGCAAGAGGCCTACATGTCACTTTTGCCAGGAGGTGTTGTGGAAGGGGAGGAGCAAAGGCTGCTTTACTGTAAATACATTCATGAAGCATGGAAATAGTCAACAAATAAGTGACTTGTGTAAACTGCTGCTTGTAAACACAATAGTTTGGATATGCTGCAATTCTTGAGCATCTTGCTGTATTCTCTGATTCATAAGCAACAAAGCAACTTCAGATTCTTTTTTCAGTCTGCTAGAAATCAAAAACTCTGACATGAACAAAAGTCCCCATCGAAGCTCTGGAAATCTAAGTTGGAGTGTTTTAATTAAGAGATGCATTTGGGCTACATTAAATAACATTTAAAAATGTCAAAAATCCAATAGCACATATAGTAGACTGAACAAGTATTTAGAAAGGAAGATACAAGGCTTTTCTAGAAATTCAGAGGTAGTGGAACAGCTAGAAACAGGCCTTGAGAGAGCCCTAAACTTCCTGCAAATGAGCCTGCTCTGTGTCTAACCATCAAAGCTATAAAGAGATGTACAGTGCAGTGAGTAAGACTGGAAATATTTCTCCTCCTGCAGTCCAAACATTTCTGGTCACAAAACAAAACCAAAAAAGTTATTTGGACTCTTCCTCACTTTTACAGAAGGATTGGGAAGGCTCATAGAAAAATGCTGTCAATTCAAAGCTCCTGGCATGTATAACAAAGTGAAAATACTTCTTTCAGCTTCCCTACATATTTCAGATCATCCAGCTGCTGTAAATGGTGCAATGACTGAGCCAAGCAGCAGAGCAATTAGCAGCTACGTGAGAGAGGGTGAATTTCCCAGGAACAGAAATGGCCCAACCTCAGTAACTATTTCCATCCACACCAACTGATGCACCAGCAGCTGGGTAGTACCACTCTCAGAGTTGGACTTTAAATGTGCTTATTCCAGCAGAGGTATAAACTAGGACTAGCTATTAAAAAAGAAAAATTAAAAATAAAACCTCCACAGCAAAGATATATTGCAGTAAGATGCATGCCTGAGAGACAGAAATAAATCAGGCCTTTTCTGCAAGCTGGGGAGCTGTGTCCAAAACATAGTGAATATAAAACTTTGTGGGATGTACAGAATGGAGCAACCCTCCTGATGCTTTGCTAATAGCACACTGGCATTGTTTTATACCTTGCTCTGGCTACATGTCATTAATGCAGCAGATGAAGGATCAGATCATATGGTATAAATCACTACAGCCCTATCGATCTCAGCTGCTAGAGCAGGAACTGATACCGAGGTGGTATATTGTAAGGGGAAGCTCTGTACAAGTCCAGAAGCCCTTGATTTCAAACCCTGCAATAAAAGCTGTAAGGAGAGAGGGTTAGCAGCAAAGGGTTATAGGTCTCCCGCATCAGACAGTAAGAGGATTAGTTTCAGATGTATTAGATTACAGCCCAGAAGGCTGACACTGTGTGTCAGCACTTTAACTGGGTGCCAGCAACTCCTCCACTAAGGCAATACATGAAAGACTAAAGGAAAACCATAAATACCTTTGCATCACATGTCCTCAGCACGAGATGAATGAAGGCATGATCTGAAATGAGGTTTATTACTCCCAAATCTGCCCCAAGACACTAAGAACACTGCACAGGCTGTGAGACACAAAGCCTGTCTAGCTGCTGGATGTGCATCATGGCCAAGGGGAAAACATTTTACTTGGTTTGCTTGGAGCTAACCACAGCATTATCAGACAATGCAGTGCAGAAGAGATCAACCACACAGCCCAAGATGCTCATGACATTTGAGGTTTGAAGATGGCTTTTTAGCTAGACAGTGAAGCTTTGCCCCCTCCTTTTTCTGTAAAGCCACAATTCTTTATTAATTGTAACAAATACTCTAAAAAAGTAAAAATATATAGCAAGATGACTGACATGGAACTTTGCAACAGAAGATGAAGGCCTGCAATGTGATGAAGGCAACAGCCTGTGCTGATTTTTGCAGGAGAAATGCCTGTATCCCAAAGCCTTGGCCAGCAGCAAGGGGAAATAAGTGAACATTGGTCACTTCCAGCACTGAAAGAAGCAAAGCCTCAAAGTGCATGAGAATAAGGCACCACATGAGTGCTACCACTGGAAAAGCTGGATATATCCATCTGTAAGAAGTGAGGACAGACCACAAAAAGCAGAGACGAGAGGGAACAAACGTGGGTAGAAATCTCACTGCAAGGCAACTTTAAGAGAAAACAAAAGTAGGAGCATTTGAAATCCATCTTCAAGTTCCCTCTTAGCACTGTATAGCTGAGATGCTGGGAGTGCTGGCAGAACTCACTGAAGCAGGCAGATGAACATGCAGAGTCCTCTGGTGAGATAAGGTGGTGTGGATAACAACATTCTTACCTTCAGCTGCTACATCATGTAAAGAAACTTGTTCTTGAATGACAATGTTGGTAGAGAGCTAATCTTTCCCTGCCCTTGAAACATCTACAGGGTCAATCACAAAGCTGTTGATGGCCATGAAAGCTATGAAAGGTAGATATAAAAGTTTAAAAATAGTGAAACTGAAATGTCAGAGGGGAGGAGTTTTTCTTGGGATTGTGGGCCAAAGATTTCCCTGGCTGACTCCCCCAGAGTCGGTGGAACAGTGCCAGGAGACAGCAGGCTCACATCTTTGTCAATAGGGAGCTGCCTGGCTCAATTTAACTGTTGGTCTTCCCTTACAGACTTCAAGGAGGCTTTCCTCCTCTTTGACAGGACTGGTGATGCCAAGATCACCCTGAGCCAGGTTGGTGATATCATCCGGGCGCTGGGGCAGAACCCTACAAATGCTGAGGTCAACAAGATCCTGGGCAACCCCAGCAAAGAGGGTAAGTGCCCTACAGACTCTCACAGGCCCTTCTTGAGGCTGGGGAACTGCAATTAGGCAACAGCAAGAGCGACAGCAGAAAGGAGTTTTGCTCTGATGGGGAGCGAGGGAGACTCTGCAACAATACATCAAATTTCTCCAGTTTCTTTGGAAGAAGATGATGCTGATAGGGAATACAGGAGGAAAACCTTCTCTTTAGGACATGGAGGGTTCTCTGTAGGGATGATTTTGTTGTCAACTTGGTGTAGGTGTAGCACATACTTGTTGCTCACAGTCTGTTGTGCCCCAAACCTGGCTGTAAGTGGGAGATGTAAGCCCATTTCTAACAGCTGATACTCAGCTCTGCAGGTCCTTCCAGTGCAGGATCTTCTGCATAAGCCTTCACATGCCCTGGAACTGGAAACCCACCTGTATATTTATGCTGACTGGAGTGGTCTCCTCAAAGCTACAAACCTGGGCACATTGGCCAATTATTATAGCAGCCATTTTCCATTTCCTTTTTTCGCCTCTTAGAGGGAAAAAGAAGTGATGAATGCTGTAGTCATCTCCTTCTAACAAGGGCCTAGAAGAAGGTGATCCCTGATTTCAGTCATACAGAACCATATTAAGGGGGGCTTAATTACATTCAAACCCTCAGGCCTGGTACAGGCAGCTCTGAGGAACAATTCAGAAAGCATTAGCACCAGCAGGAAGCACTGAGGACTAACACAGAGGTGAAACCACACCAGGACATTCAGTGACTCCAGCAACAACTGACAGTGGTTTTGATATAGAAACTATTTTATTACACAGCTGTAACAACTGTATATTGAAAAATCTCTGTCATGTTATAACCCTGGAGGCATTCAAAGCCAGGTCAGATGAGGCTTTTAGCATCCTGGTCTAGTGGGCGATGTCTCTGCCCATGGCAGGGGGTTGTGACTAGATGACCTGTCAGGTCCATTCCAACCCCTAAAATACTGTGATTCTATGTTTCCATCTATTATTGCTGCCCAGATGAAGGCTGCTTTTTGAAAAGGCCCAGGAAAAGAAAATCATTTTATTTTGTAGCCTTAGTCAAGAAAAAAACCCAACCCAAAACCAACCACATTTGGGGAAGTCCTCGCTGAGGAGTACAATTTCTGGCTCATGAAAGCAAAGGGGTTAGATGCACTAAGCATGTGAGTCCTTAAACCTCCACACTGAACATGGCAATAGTAAATTTGGACATCACTGCCTCTGGACTTTCCTATTTTTAATTGGCTTATTCTTAGGCTCTGCCACTACATCAAAGAGACCCTGAAGAGGTCTGTGACATGTCAGCAATCTCGAGGACTGTCTAAGCTGCAATATCTCACTCTGGTTACCTTTCCCACTGTTGGGGCTCAAGATTTCTGTTTGACTGTATTCTGTTGTTTCCCCACTCCCCAAATCCTTTCAAAGTTCAACTCATACAGCAAGTTTCATTTCTGAAAGTATAACACAGCATGCACTCAAGCATATAAAGTTATGTGAGAAGAGGGCTGGAGCAAGGATGTGAAAAATCAGACGGATGTGAAAACTAACTCCTAAGATAAGAGAGAATCCAGATTCTTCAAAAACTGTCAAATCTTGAGCCAAAGACTAAAAGCTAGAAAGAGGTGTGCAAATGGGGTGGTGGAGGCTCTCCCACTTTTCAGGGCAGATAACCCCAAACAACACACATACTAGTGCCTAGCATACAGCAACTGGTGCTTCCTTTCCAGAGATGAATGCCAAGAAGATTACTTTTGAAGAGTTCCTGCCCATGTTGCAAGCAGCTGCTAACAACAAGGAACAGGGCACCTTTGAAGACTTCGTTGAAGGTCTGCGTGTCTTTGACAAGGAAGGCAACGGCACAGTCATGGGTGCTGAGCTCCGTCATGTGCTGGCAACTCTAGGTAAGGGATTAGCAACTCTGCAAGTGAAAACTGCTGCTGTTTGAAGGCATGAGAGAGGGAGGAAATATATTCCAACCAGTTTGGAGAGGTCAGAGGCTACAAAGCCAGACAAGACTCTTGGTTCCCTAACTAGGAATTCACAAAGAAAGCAAACAAAACTTTGTGTTTTCTACTAAAGACCAAAGGAAAAGTCTTAGTTCATGACTTGTAAATTTAGACTAGATATTAGGGAGTGCCTGTTATTTGACAAATAGAGAGAAAAGTCTGCACACCTCAGTGACATCACACACATGGACAAAGGCAGAGGATTCGCTGCATGATTTCTTTACTCTGTAGGAATAACTAGAATCCCTGTGTCTATATGCATGTGCAGAGCTTCTAAAGAAAGCTAAAATGAATAAAGCTCATGTCATATATAGGTCTTTTTGTTACTAACTCGGAAAACATGAAATGCCTTTGGAAAAGCTGTAGGGTTCAGCCTCAGTTGTGTGTCTGTGAAGAATTAACCAAGCTCTCCCCACTCTCAGGCGAGAAGATGACAGAAGAGGAAGTAGACGAACTCATGAAAGGTCAGGAAGACTCGAATGGCTGCATCAACTATGAAGGTAGGTGCAAGAGTTCAGCGTCCTCCTATCCTACATTTCTCCTCTCTCTCAGTTTCATTGCAGTTAGCTTTTAGCTTCTCAGGCAAATCAGTCAGACAAAGCTCCAGCTAGGTTAGGTCCAAAGGAAAAGGAAACTGACCATGGTAACTCTGCAGTCACACCATGCAAAAGACTCGGTTTGGCCATAGCAGAGGAGGCTGTTTTGGCCAACACCAGATCTCTAGCCTCTGGCTTCCAGTAGGGCAGTTGCAGCAATTGCAATCAATCCTATAGCTAAGGCTTAGACCTACTGCTCTGTTGGTCATAAAATTAGTCTTACCACACTTAAGCAAGAAGAGAACTTGATTGTACAACATTAAACATTTAGAAATCTCTATCACTGTTGACTCAAATCTGATAAGTAACATGTTTTTTTCATGCCATCAGCTCATGAACAGTTCTTATTTTTAAGGGTGTTTCCCAAGGTAACATTTGCTGCTCTTTCTAACTAGCACATCTGTATTTTTCCACAGCATTTGTAAAGCACATCCTGTCTGTCTAAGTGGACTTCTCCAGATGGTATGTTCTTCTCTTTGCACACTTAATCTTGTCTGTTTGCAATACTTAAAGCCTGCTATGTGCCCATGGCTGACACAGGTTATGAAACCAAGGTGACACTGTCTGCCCAATAGACAAAATGAGACTGTTGTCCAAGAACAGAGCACAGACTCCTGGCTCTTGTTCTAAGTCCTATGAACTCACTGGAAACGGTGTTCAGTGGATTTTTCAAACATAGACAGACTGAAAAGAAATGCTCAGTTGAATCTTGAGCATGGAAATGCTCAGTCATAAATATCACCCTAAATGTCTGTTGCCGTGCAAAATCAGAGTTAAAGCTAAGCAAACTGACAGCCTGAGACATTTATCCTACAAGCACAATTGAAATTTTGTTTTTAAAAAGAGGCAGTCAAAGCAACACCTAGTAATTTGTAGGTTTCTGTTAAGACAGTGTCCTGAATACTAGTGTGAACTACTGAGGACAGCTCTTCAAACAAAATAATCACCTGAAATAAGAGTATCGTGACAGGTTTGGTCAATAGTCAAAAGAAAGCTTCAAAAGCACCCAACTATTTAGCAGTTCTCCTGCAAGTAGGGGAAAAAACCAAACCAACGAAAACAACCTTTATATGCTGCTATTTTGTCCAAAGTAAAAAAACTTAGCAGCTGTTTTTAAAATACAAAGACAAACCATTGCAGGTGTGTGGACTTACCTGAACCATCAGCTATTCTATCCCAGGAAATACACATTCCCAACTGGCATAGGAAATTAACATCTTGAAGTAGAAATCAAGGGCTCAGTTTGTCATTTTGCAGGTGGTTCTTCAGCCAGCATTGACTGCAAATCCAACTCTCCCATTCCTTCCTAGAACAAGTCAAATTCAGAAAGACCAGATGGCACACGAGATCTGCCTGAAATTCTTGCTCAGTCTGTCACCATCGACATGGAAACTGCATAGGACTGGATTATGTGCCTCCAACCCTACCACTTTTTACCAGCACATCCATGGGTATCATCTCTGGGTCACCACACTTTCATGTAAAAAACCTGAGATTTCACCAAAGCAAATGAGATGGAATAAACTGCCACCATCCAGGTTCAATCCATCCCAACCATCTCTTTCCATGTTATTTGCATTGAAACAATGTAATTTCTTGGAAAAATAAAACATCAGTAAATCCCTGTGGTCACTTTGTGGCTATAAAGTCTTTTTTTTCTCCCTCTAAAGCTGTTCAAACCCACTCAAAGCAGCACTCAGCACTTATTTTCTCTGTATATTGCATATCACAAAAAAAAGTTTTATAAAAAAAATACAGACATCTCCAGGACCTCACTCTACTTAATCTGAGAAGTTTTTTGTTTGGGGGCTGGGAGGAGGAGTAATTAGGGAACTACTTAAAACATTTTTGGGAGGAGGAGACTTGGTGTCAGAACAGCTCCTAAGGTGTCACTTGCTGGTGCACCAGGCAAGACCCCAAACCAGCCAGGGTGGCTCTGCTGCAGAGGACCTTGCAGAGCCACTCTACCCAGAAAAATCTCCTCAGTACTGCTGCAACAGCAGCTCCACAGCACTGTTAGGAAAGGAACTGAGTATCTGCTTGTTCTATTAAAATCCTACTTTGCCTTATTGAGCTGCTATGCACGAAATGACCATAATTCAAGAGCCAACAGGTGCAGCAGGGCGCAGCGGGGGCAGCTGGCACCAGAATAAACCACAGCCGCTCAAACAGCAGCTGCCTCCCTCCTGAGGCTTCCCAAAAAATCTCCCATCTAAACCCTCCCCGTGCTGGCAGACAGGGCCAAATGAACCTCTGAATTACTCCCTGCCCAGAAACTCGTGCCAGCAGGTAGTTTACAGGGGGTTGTGGTTGCTATGCACACAATGGGGAAAAGCTCTGGATAGAAGGAATGAAAAAAAGAAAGGAAGATGTTATTTAACTTCATCCTGAAAAGACAACAAAAAAGGTGTGGGATACATAAGCAGGTTTAGACAGGAGGGCATTTCTCAAGACAGTGCTAGACACCCTACTGTTCCTCAGTGTTCTGCCTACATGTGTGGTTTCTCTTTCCAAGAAAACTGTGGATCTCAGTTGCTGGGAAAGCAAACAAAGAAAACACACAACAACATTTCACCAAATATGCTGTCAGCCTCTTTCTCACACTGTCCTGTCAACACTGCACTGACATGTGGCCACAGAATAAGCCTAATCCAAGGCTGGACACAGCCCTAAAGGAAAGGTTGAATTTTCCATCATATTTTCTTTTCTAATTTCTAATACACTTGGGACCCAAGCCTGGACAACTACCAGAGTGGGATGAGTTCCCATCACTGAAGAAGCAGAAGGATTTTTAAATCACCCACTTAAAAAAACTCTCATTCACTTTTTTGCTTGAAACAAAATGCCAAATTGTGAGACATAACCAGCCTGACAGGAATTCTCTGAATCCTAACTGCAAGAAACCAAGATAACATTACTTGCACTAGTGTCACTCCTCAAACATTAAAGTACAAATAACTTCTACAGACAAAACAGATAAAAACCAAAGAAAATACACCTTTCCTATTCAAATTAGTCCAAGCTTTGAAAGCGTTTCACAGAGCTGCACAGGGAATGGATTTTATGCTATCAAAACGTTTTAGTAATTTAAAAAAACTCCCTCCTCAAACTGAGACAAATATCTGAAAAAGTGTTCATGTTCTTCTAAGACAAAAGCATTTTGAGGTGATCTTAAATAATTCAGTCCTTTATAAAGAATGGCAATCCCTTTATGTACTAGTAGCATCTTTTAGCTAGTGACAGATTCAACATAAGCCTTTTTATTTATTTACTTGTTTTGAAAAGGTAGAAACAAAATATTTTGGAAATGTAATGACAAGTGGTTGAGAAACACACCGAAGACTCACTTAAAGTGAGCCTTAGTTTCATCAATAAATCCCATCCAAATGATACCCAGTCTGAAAGTACAGTTTGGAAATGCCTGAAGAGTAGGAGAGCAGGGAAACCTCCTACTCTGCCTCAAAACCATTTAAAGGTTGAACCTACTGCCTCCATACCAGTAACATTGCTCAGAGCTCTGATCCTGTGGAGTGCTCCTCACAAAAGG